TCGCGACGAGTCCCAGCACCCTGGCTGCAGCAGCGTCATCTCATTTTGGAAGTGGAAGCATCGTTTGCTTGAGAAAATGCCACATGCCTTGCCTCTTGCTCAACTCTTTCACTCGACAGTTCCGAATAATAATCGGATTATTATTGACGTCATCAAGATTTTTGACGCACCTTTCGGAGATCCTTCCGATCGAGTTCATCGCTGGAAGACGAAAACTCACGAGGCTTTCCGCCTTCCGAGAGGAAAGGCCATCGCTTTAATAGTTAGAATCGGCGCTGCAGCCTGCAGGAGCCTCAGAGAAACTCGGGACGGGCAGGAAGAGTCTCTGGAAATTTTGCTTCGTTCATTCGAAGAAAGCCAGCAACGGGATTGGGAACAGACTCTTCTAGGTGGGACAGTAAAAAAATTGTGCGCCACCAGAGTCGATCATTTCAACACTCTTGAAAAAGATTGAGCGATTTCCTCGAAAGGGAGCGAAACTGAAGTTAGCGGTTTTACCCCCTAAAAACAAAGAAGTGCAGCAGCTCACCTCTCTCTTTCCAGAGAACAACCACTACTTTTTCTACTCACTTGAAAAGTGCTCTCTCTCATACGTTTCGCGCTCATAAAAAAGATATGGATTTTGCTCTCATAATGGAGCAGTTATCGATTGCACTTCCTCATGTTAAGGAGTAAAACCGCTAAATCCAGTTTCGCTCCCTTTCTCGGATATCATTCACTTTTTTGTAAGAATGAAGAGCCAGAGCATCGTCAAAACTCGTATGTTGTGCCTTCATGATAACATACCATACCACAATGAGGACAGCAGAGAAACTGGCGTTGAACGGCAACTGATGTAGATGCATCCCGAACTCATACCAGACGCTTCACGTTGACCTTTTCAGCTCCTGTCATGGGAGAAGTGAGGCTTCATCTTGCCTTGAGGCTGCCTTTTGATTGGTTCTTGCTAGCGAGTACTCGCCTGAAGTTAGAAATCTTTCAAACTCTTGTGAGTGGAGTGTTACACTAAGCGAGTGGTCCTAACGAGTACTTGCCTAATGTAACAGGGCCTTAAGCGTCCTCGCGTTTCCCTGTGAGGCCTATAGTGAGATCATGTCGAGTTCGGCAAAGGGCAGGTGGCGACCACGATAGAGACCATTCCGAGATTTTTGTTTCGGAGCAGGAATATATCATTGTTTGCAGAAGTACGGTTGGTGCGTGCTAGGCGTAAATATACAGGACGGTTCAAAAGGTATGTCACCTGTTCAGAGGACTGCCCAAAGGAAACCGATAGACGCAACGTTGTGAAACTGGCGTGTTGACAAAACTAAACTCTAAAATATTCCAAATGGTTTCTAGATCATCGAAAACCGCTCTGAAAGTGTACACACAGCTGAGGGTTCTTGTCCGAACCATTATTTTTGATAGTGTAGCGCTTTCATACCCATCCTACATATTTATTCCCGTACTAGTGAGTTTGTCCTTATTTCAGGAAAAAATGAACTATAGCACTCATATTTAAAAATTAGTCATTCAAATTAAGTGCTCAAAAAAGTTAAGTTCACCTATCTAAGCGAGAAGGCTATCACTGAGAGAGGTAGGGAGGTGGATAGGGTACTGATGATTCCTCTCCACTGTGGCGACCATTTCGTCAGACGTCGCGCCCTCCTCTCCTCAGGCGCTTGCGTCGGTTGGTGAAAAATGAAGCGCATTCGTCACATCTACTGATTCATGCCACCGAATCTTTTTATTAATATGATCAAGTCGAATGGATGTAATTTTGCATAAAATCAGATAAATGTAGAATGAATCAATTGCTGAGCATTTTCACTCGAGTGTTCCGAGAGGAATCATCAATCGTTGTCCTTACGCCCCTTGACGGCGACGTAGAAGACGTCCGCGAGGAAGACGAGAGCGAGGATGATGCAGAAGGCTCCCGAGGCGATCATCATCTTCTCGAACTTCATCCTGAACTCAGCGTTGCCCTGAGTAAAATCCTTGAGGAGCAGACCGCCCGTGGCGAGGTAGAACAGGGCGCTGACTCCTCCGTGGATGATCTCCTGAAAGGAACGAGGAGCCGGATGATCAGTTTTCGCGGCATCAAGATCGACAGATGCAGTTTCGTTCATGGAATGTCTTGCCAGTTCGTGCCGACGAAGCAGGCTTTCAGCGGTTATAGGAAAATTAAAATTTGAAGTTTGAAAGGGGGAATCCGGTTACCCAAGGGAAGTTCCCCCTGCCTGCTTCCTATTTATAATATTATTATATTTATTGCGTGATAATTGACACCTATTGTTTTAAACTTCTCTCGTACCGCAGTTCTAATTTCGCGGGAAGAGATTTCAATGGGCTCGTAGAAACATGGTACGTTCTTTAGTGCTAAGTGCAAGTATTGCGAAAAATAAACCGGAGAAGAGAATTCTGGTATAGAAATGGGTGTCGTTTTGAAGGATTTAACCTCATGGAGGAATTAAAATTTTAGATTCTTAAGGATTTAGAAAACTGCGAGGAGCTCACAGGACTATTAATACATGACCCATATTTAGCAATCATTGCCACGGGGCAATTTACATCCTGGAGGGACAAGAAAAGCGAGAGCATCGAAGTTCGATTGCCTTTCCTTTCGTGAGAAATTCCCATTCAGCATTTCGAATGGAAAGGACACGTTTTCGAATGATGATCCCAATCGAAGGAATCCCCCGACGAGGCGGAAAATACTCTAACGGAATGCTTATTCCGAGGACGAGTCGGAAAGTTCCAGTACTTGTTTCAGTACTCCTGTGCTTCTAGTCGGAGGGATCGATTCCAAGATTTTCTCGGTTTGTTTACGCGAGAAAACAGGAAACGTGCTTTCCGTGCATTAGAAAATAAAGTGATGAAATTGCTTAAAATTATTTCCTGTGCATTAGTAGGAAGTTTCCTTTTTTTTGCAGTATTTATTGAAGGAATCTCCTTCTCGCCTTCTACATCTATCCATACCATCTTTCCGAATGCTAGTGTGTCTGTCTGTCCTTCATGGACGGCCATGCCTCTGATCCCAGTCCGACCAAACTTTGCATGGTTTTGGCCCATATTTAATGCAGATTTGGCCGATTCACCGGAGGATTGCGCCGGAGGCCTCCACATTTCCTTGCCGCGATCGGGCGGATGTTTGTCTTCCATCGTTTCTTTGCCTCGATCGGAGCGTGGACCTCTATCCGTCTTTCACAATCTCACGCTTGTGATAGGAGAGTGCGAGAGGAAGGTGTGACCCTTCGCAGGGAATGATGAAACCTCCCATCGTTCCAGATATCGAAGATGACATCCATTCATCGATGGATGCATCAGGACAGCCCTAATTATTTCTTCTTGCCGTTGACAATCAGGCTTCAGTTTTGGATCAGTTGTCGCAAGGCCGTTCACGTCATTTTATCTTATCTACGCCGTCTTCGTTGGACACCGACACCGGCAGGCAGCAAACCTACCGATGGTGCAATTCCGGCGGTTGTCTAAACATAGGTGCAGCCATAGAATAAGCTAAGTCCATGTAAAAAATGCGCTCGAATAAAGTACATCGTAAGTAAAGAAATAAAATGCCTCGGGGCAAGTTAAAAAAAAAAGAAAAAGAAAAAAAGATAAAAAAAAAGAATAGAGAGGGATTAGTCAATGTGCATTTTGATATTAAGGGAGTATAAGGACATATATTATGGTCCACTTTTGCAGCATGCACCTGATGAGATCGAGCCGAAAACTGAAACAAAAGTTCGTTTATTTTCCTATCGGATACGGGGAAAATGAAGAGCATGACAGCTTCTTCTTCCAGCCGGAAGAGGAATTGCTCTGAAAAACTGAAGGACGCCCTGCTGAACCGACATCATCAACCTTTCCTGGTTGTTGGAGGCCGGCACTTCTTCGACTAATCAAAATATAAAAGATGCAGGACTCGGTGCTTCTCTCCTGACACTCTCTCTTTGAGAAGGGAAAGGGGCGTGAATGGGTTGCGGTCTTTTCCAGAAATGATTAGAGGTACTGAGTAATCGCGATAGTGAATAGAACTTACAGCTTCGCGGTGAAATGGGGTGCACCAAATACTCGCGTATTAATAAGGGAAGGTCGCGTAAAGACGATGAAATCCCATTAATCATGCAGTATTTCGAATGGAAAGAGCTGTTTTTTGAATAATGAAGGGAATTAAGGAAAACCCGAATGAGACGGAAAATTACTTCCGTGAACGAAAAACCAATTCTAAAACTATGGATTGAAAAAAACCAAACTATTAATTGGAATTTTCCGGAAAATGAGAGGAAAGCTCCATAATCGCTTTACAATGGATCTATTCCGACGGTTTTTCAGAGCACCGTGTTTACGTTAAGAAATAGCAGACATGGTTTCAGTTATGAATGGGAATCCCCTTCTCCTTGCATTTCTCCATCCTCTGTTTCCGATGCCTTAGTCGGAGTTACTTTTTTACAGTGAACCCGGATGGATTGTATTGCACTGTAACTCGCCTCAATCCTCTGGGACATTTCCCCTTAATCAATATTTTGCCGATGCATCGCGATGGTCGAAAAAGCAATCGATATTGATGGGTATCGTGGTATTGACGCATCGATCTATCGTGATAGCCCTAATTTCTAGTTGTGTTTGCCAAAGGTCATTAAAACAAAACAGGCATTAAACACTGAAAAATGGAACGTATATAATACAACAACGTCAACGGGTAACGACTGATACATCTCCTAGTTCGAAATAGTTCTAATCGACCCCAATCCTGAATCGTCCCCATGCAAATATTTCCGCTTGATTCCTCCATTTCTCCCCCTTCCCCTCCTTCTGTCGCCTTTTCTACATCTCGCACTTCATCTCCCCTTCATCTCCCTCTGCTTCTGATAGTAGGAGGGCGAAGGAAGTAAAGAAGCTCATTGCTAGAGTATCAGGTCCTCCTCCCGATCAATCTATACCCTTCCTCCCCTCCCCTCTTCAATGTTTACCAAAAGACTGACCAAGATCTCTCTGGGACGTCGCACGGGACTTACCATGGAGCCGGTCTTGTGGCCATAGAGGAGGGCGAAAGGGAAGATGAGGGTGGAGAGGAACAGCCCAACCAGGGTCCCGTGGATTACCAAATCCTTGTTCAACCCCTCTTCTGAAGCTGAAGCTCGACCGTATCCGGATGACAGCTCTGAGAATAATGACCCATAGGCAGCCCGGAAGAGCGAAAGCGCCAGCAACCCGAATATCTGGAGACAGACGCATCCTGCATTCTTTCTTGTGACTGTTCGGAACGTTGATGACAGAGAGAGAGACTCACGATTTCTCCATATTTGAAGACGGCTGAAGATTTCCCTAGCGCGTTGGTATTCATATCCACCTTCACTCCTAAAAACCTCTCTTCTTTGATGCGTGTGGCTTGGAATTCTCGTCCCTTATTGCAGTTTTATCGTTCTTGCCTGCTCCTCATTCTCAATTTTTTGTGTGTTTAGCATCATCCAATCTTTCTCTACCAATGACGCGCGATAAGATTTTGTTTTATGGCGTTTGAAATTAATGTCACTTCCTTGGAGTAGGTAAAGGGGAGATAAGGTAAAACCGAGTTCCAGAATTCAGCTCTGGAATTGACATCTTTCTTGCGGAAAACAATGGTGGGATTTTCCTCCTTTGAACCATTCTGATCTTATCCCCGATGCATTCGGGAATGCATAGAGCCAGGGCGAAGCCATGCAGATGAGAGCGTTGAGGGAACGGCTGCGCCGGCCGTCAGTTTCTCCGTTTCAGGCATCATATCCAAGCAACGTTTCGTCGCACTTCTTGTGGCCTTCGTTACATGACATAGACATGAAATAAAATGAAATGACACTTTATTAGCCTTGATTCGGCCCTTTCAGCACAAACACAAAACAAAAATGGAGGGAAATAAAAAACCAACCTTTACAAAAGGTAGTTTTTCAATTTAGTAGTTCTAATTCTTAAAAGAACTCCTTTCAAATTTGGACCCCACCGACAAGAGTATGACAGCGGGTGAGACGCTTCACTCTTCAGGTTGAAGAGGAACGTGACTCTCGGTAGTTGCTTCTGGTTAAGTACTTTCTATTTGCACGAAGAAGTAGGCCTTCCAGATACTTGAGCCAGAAGTTCGAGTGTCCGAGATATGACACCACAGGCTTCCCTCGATAGAAGTCCCGCGTAAATTGAACGTCCGTCTAGGAAAGTGGGCGAGATGCAAGCGCCCACGAAGTTACGAATCAAGTCGAGGCTTCCAGCGGTCCCGAGTCGCCGAGTCCCCAAGCCACGAATCGACCGAAGGAGCAAAGAAAGACCTCGAGATTGCCCTCTTGCAAGAGCTTCTACTTGCATCGAAAACTTAGCTTATCGTCGATGATGACACCAGCATTCCTTGCTTCGTGAACCGATCATGACCTGATCTCGAAGTCATTCACATTCAGTTTTGCGTGAGGAGAAAAAGCATTTCTACATTTCTTAAACCGGGGTTGGGGAAAACAACTTGATCGGATCGAGAAGATCATGTCCAGGATTTTCAAGATTCAAGATGGTTAGTGATAACAAGAGGCGATTTCACCCATTTCGATATCACGTGTCGAGGTCGAGTGTTCCTTAATATTAGGGTAGGCCTAACCCTCTTGAAGCTAAATTTTTTGTATTTTTGTTTTGTTTTTTTGACTATCCTAGTTGCTTACTGTCCAGTACCTACGTCAACATTGCCCCCCACCTTTTTGCCTGTCCATGGGTGTAGAACAGTGGTGCACAACCTTTTCCTCATGGAGGGCCAAATTGAGATTTCGGCTCATGTTCGAGGGTTGCAGGCCCTCGAACATGAGCAGAAATAGGCCGCATATAAATATGGATTTT